ATGAATAATTGACTTTTGGATAAAATAATAATTAGATATAATAAATATAAAAAACTAACGTTACTATGATTGTACCCAGCTCATATAACTTAATCCCTTTATTATTATAAAAACCAATGCTTTTCCTTTATACAATATGTAAATTATGACTGTTATGTCAAACAATTATTTTAATCATTTATACTGTACTAACTTAATTTCATCTTACCAATTTAGATTTTATATTTATAATGATTTAATTATGGTTTCATGACCAAATAACAATTACATGATAAGTTACAAACAATAAAAATTTAATAGCAACATAATTATAAAATTCAAACAAATATATATTATTATTGAGTGTTAATAAACATTTACTAATAAAACATTAAAACCCATAAAATTATTTATTTCTTGTTTTAAATGGCGCTTTAATTCTCTCATTAACGGTAAGTATAGCCTCTCTGGCCTTAGGCCACGAATTTGGACCTAGGATAAGATAATTTTAATTAATAGACACTAGCCACATCATATTATTTAAAATGGTCTCACCCGTCAACCTGTACTGATAGGGAACGTAAGGACCGAAATACATGTGAAACCATAGCTTGGGGTCAGTAACGAAATATTTGCATAGATTTGGTTTGACGCCCATAAGGCCGGCCAACTCGTCCATGTATTTAATGTAATACACTTCCAACGCATGCTTTTGCCAGTCGGGGAAGTGCTGTTTAAGCCATTTCTTTCGCCGCTTAATATCCCGGATCATCTGCTTTTGTGTCGCCATTTGGCACTTATTAGCCATTACTAGCGCGAAATAACGGGACTGGAGCTCAGCTATGGGTAGCACAGCACCCGTAGGTACTATAATGCCAATAAATGCCAGGGTATGTGGGTGTGTCAGGGTGGTGGGAAATATGTGTTTATATAAATGGAAATCTGATTTCTGGGTGGATATCACGGATTCCGACAGAAATGGATACGATAACTGATATCCGGTGGCGAATACGACGGCATCGCATAGGGTTTCATCGGCTTCTCCTATAAAATTTAATTTACAATTTTTATACTTCACTAAAATATTTATACACTAATAATTAAAAGTCATTATTATTATATTTAGTATTTTAAATATTATACTCTACCGTATTTATATGTAATAACCCTTTGATAATACAAATTTTTAAACTACTAATAAAAATTATTTTAATAACTAAGTTGGGAACATCGTGACTTGTCAGTAAGTTGTGCAAGTATAATTAGTGTTAAAGCAAACAATAATATGTTGTATGAATTCTTACCCGTAAATATCACTCCATGCTCAGTGAACTCCTGGATGTCCCCTTTGATGACCACAGAGCCAGTCATTATCTTTTTGGGCAAATCCTCGTTAACTAAGATTTGTTTGGAAAGAAACCGGTGTTTCGGTTTGAGTCCATACAACTTGTGGTCAAATCGCATATTCAAATACCACTCGACCGCAGCATTTGCGAGTCTTAAGGGTGACACATTGAACATGGTATTAAAGAACCTTGTTACCATAACCGCGTCAAACGGTTTGCCCTTATGGCCAACCCGGTGAGTGACCCAACTCCCGGTGCGAGTCGATAGGTGAACCTAATGTGTATCAAGGAAAGTTGTAAGATGTTAAGTCCCTTTACTAATGCATTACAATGATCTATACAATAGATTAACATTCATGGGCTATAGACCCCAGTTACCTATAACATTTGTAATTGTTGTAAATCAAACATTTTGTTAATGTATGATTTTTACTGTACAATGTATTTGATTCAATCGACTACATTAGATATTTTTTAATTAGTTTATTTAAATTTTAACATACTGCATAATACATCGTATTTCCTATATTCAAAATTATAGCTATTTGTTAAAATTATTGTTAAAATAGAAATTGATATAATTAGTGATAAAGTTAAATTTATATTAATAGCTTTGCTTATAATTCTTCAATGTTAGTTAAATATTAATTAACTGTAGGGTTAGCTAACAATATGCAGTTAATAAATATCATGTTTCACTTTTAAATTAAATAATTAATCAAATTTGTTGATTACTCACAATTGGACACACATTAGACAACTCGACAGTAGCATCACAACCGGAGCCACCGATGCCCACCACGACTACCCTTTTGCCCGCAAACGCCGTGTTATCTTTGAAAGCGTGTGAATGCATGAGAAGTCCCTTAAATATGTGTTGATTCTCGTACGTAGGCATTGATGGCTTGTTGTTATGTCCGGTGCACACCATTACCCCATCAAATACCTCGTAAATTAGGCGGTCGTTGTTGGTGTCGCGCACCGTTAGCCTCCATCTCCCAGTCATCT